CATTCTAGACAGTTTATCAGCTAAAAAAAGTTAATTTTGGGGTAAGTTACTCTTTAAGACATCTGCTAGATGTCTTTTAGACATTTTTCAGAGGTGCAGAAGCTAAAAATGACGTCATGCAGCTTTGTAAAAGTCTTCCAGCTGAGTGGAATTCTTTGAATTCTTTGTGTGTTTCTGTTTTCAGGTGACCGACAAACACCTGTTGTTTCTTCACCTACCAGCGGGTCCGGATGGGTTAGTCTGGTTCTGGTTTTCCTTCCTTCTCTCACCTAAAGCTGCCTGAATGAAACTGATTTGTCTTAAAATAAAACCCACAAACTGACAGAAATAAAATGAACATGAATGACGGCACCCCGCCCCTCGCACAGTGACTGCTGGAGATGGACACCTGTGGCCCTGAAAGGATGATTATCCGAACTTTTCTTGTCATTTTGAAACTTATGTTTCTTATTAACAGAAAATCTGAACCTTTAACTTAGCATAATTATTTTATTTTCAGACTCAGAACCAGAGCTGGAAGTTGGGTTTGTTACAGCAGCTCCAGCAAAAGGCAGAGATACAAAACAACACAAAGATAAATATGACACAAATATGGTTAAATCATACAAAGTGAAGATATATTTATGTACTGTAGTAAATTCATGTACATTTATGTATACTTACATATTTATATGGATTTTAGAGACTGAAGATAGCTGCTTGATCTCTTAATAAACTTTATGCCAAAATGACGTCATCGTGCGGATTTTTCTCATRAAGCTGTACATCCTGTCTGTGAACACTAGATGTCAGAGCAGCACAGTAGAAGCACCTCTCCATCAGAACCACATCAATATTAAAATGTTTCTTTCATTTGATTTCCTTCAGTTCTGTGAGAACAAACCCTGACCAGCAGGTGGCGCTGCAGACTTTAACAGCTTCCTGACGTCCTTTGATCAGAACTCATCTCCTGTTTGAACATTTGATCTCTTCATTCCAGCTGGGGGGACAAAGTCTGTCCAGAGTGTCCCAGGTCTTCCCCGGGGTCTCCTCCCAGTTAGACACGTCCAGAACACCTCCTGAGGGAGGCGTCCAGGAGGCATCTGGACCAAATGAAGCACCTCAGCTGGTTCCTCTGGAGGAGCAGCAGGTCCAACTGAGTCTCATGGAGAACTGAACCACTCAGCCTGTCTCTGAGTCCAGCTGCCCTGCAGAAACCTCCCGGATCACCCAGAGTTCCTGACCTTTGTGTGCCTTCAGGACTGCAGACTTACTGGAGCCATCAGAGCCGGACCTGGAGGGAGGGGCTTGCCGTGGATGGTCTGGCCCGGCCCGTTTGTCGAGAAGGGGTTATCTGCGGAATCAAAGTGGACGTGTCACAAGAGTGGGCGTGTCTAAACCATAAACACTATGGGCTACGAGGCCTACATGATGGTATCCTTGGACCCTGCTTGACCTCTTTACAGCCTGACCCTGACCCCAACACTAAGGTRAACCAGGAGAAATGTGACCCAAGTAGGGGTCTCCAGAAAAAGTGGTGCCGTAAAGTAACGCCCCTTTTGTTCTTGTCCAATCAGGTGGTGCCTGTCCAGTCAGGTGTGACCCTTTAACAAAGTCCATCAAATCAGGTGTGTCGCTTTAGAATCGCCTTTTGTTGTGACACGCCCACTTGTCTGCAGAGACCCCTACTTGCGTTTGTTTGGACCCACCACCTGCAGGAAGGCCTTGTGGGTCAGGTCCTGGTTGACAGACACTTTTTTTGGGCTTTAAACTCTAATATCTCTAAACCCAAAGAGCTATCTACAGCAGGTAAGATACTGATTGTTCATATCTATTAAACACGCTTTAAAATGTCGGAAATACCTATTTAATATTTAAGGTTTGTTGTGTGAGGATTTGTTTATTTTAACGAGTCTGCCACGCCCCGCCCCCTCCGTGT